AACTTGCTGAAGGCTTCGACCGAGAGATAATGAAAATCTGCTGAATTGAATTGTTTTTTGACTGTTGCTTTAATTTGCAGCACCAAAAGGTGAATGCCATTTGAACATGTGTTCGATGTTTTCACTCTCTCTCTTGAGGGCTGCAGAAACTTCCTGAAGATTCGTAGAAAGCTTTTGGAATTTATTTAGGTATCGCTTAGCAAAGTTTGTTTTCTTTTATAAAGACAATAACCAAACCATAATCATAAATATCTAACAAAACTGACTCATCGTTTGGCAAACCCCACCACCTACCGATTCCTTTCCAATCCATCAGAAAACCTCTTTGACAATATAAAATGCATCAGGCTCCCCATCAAATGGAGCGTTAAAGCTCCATTCACCAACAGGTCACGAGTTTGCAGTTGATATCGGGTATCCATCAGACTGCAGCATCTTCCTAATCTCGTCAAGCATCAAAGTCGCAATCATCAATTCGACGACATTATAAACGTCGCTCGTTTAACCCACAAGGGTCCTTTTTCCACCCGCAATCCCATCCCATTTTACTGGTGAGACAAAGAAACTATACGGACAATTTTTCGGCAAGATTACGAGCGATGAACAAAGAGATATCCCCACTTCCCCCATCGAAGCCGTAACAATTACAAAGTCTGCTCTGCTTCTATTTTTGCACTGTCGAAAAAGTATGGAAATACAATATTTATATTGGAAGAAGAAGATATTGATTACCAAGTAAAACTTTTTTATTTTGTCTGGGAATTTTTAATGTAATTGGCAATGCAACCTATGATAACCTCAAGAAACCTAAAGATGGAAAAATGTATTTCTTTTACCTCATTGCAGCAGACCAAACCTTGATGATTTTAGTTTTAATCGTTGTTCTGTAATTAAAAAGCATATGAATATATAGAAAGAAAGATATATGCATGATTATAACGAACAAATCCCTACATATTATAACTGATTATAACATTATCGAACATTTTTCACATGTATCATAACCAGCTAATTAGTTATAATTATTGATTTTAGATAAGGTTAGTTAATAAGATGGAAAAAAGCCATACCAATCCTTTAATCCTAGTTTGGAATTTGAATATCATTTGGACATATATGTAGAAAGAGAGGTAGCGAACAAATCCCAACTGATTATAACTTTCGGATGACATTTTGCCTTGTGTACCTTAACTTCTTTGGTGCGAAGGCGAGGAAGAGCAGCAGGTTTTGTCGCCTTGTCGTTTCCATCGTAATCCCGTGATGGAAAGGGGGTTTTGGGAGGGCAGGGTCGCGGAGATTGCGATTGTGATTCTGTTTCTGTTTCAGCTTTCAGCTCCAGTCTGCAGGTTAGTCAGTCAAGTCGGTTTGTCAGTTAGTCAGTCGCTGGGTCGTTCGGCATGTCACTCCAGTCGGTGCGACAAATTTCGGTGGGTTTGAGTGCTCGGCGCGTGTATTAGATGATATGAGGTCATTCACTGCTGTTTACACCGAAAACTTCGTCTCCGCCGCCGACAACGCTGCTGCGCTGCCTTCCTCGGTTCAGTTGCCGAAATTTCTGGATGACGCTGCGCTCAATATACCATATACAATATACAGTTTGCTTGCCACGTCTGTGTGTTGGTGGGGCTGTGCTGAAAGCTATAGCCGAACCGAAACGAAACCCCAAACTGTTGCCCTGCTTATACATTTCCGACATCCTCCTTGCCCATCGTCCGCCTGTCTGGCGGTAGGTGGCGCTTTTGTTGTCCTCCAGCTTAGCACAGTGGCGCCAGGATCATTTTATACCGTCTTTTAATATCAGGGATCAAAATAAGACCATAAATATCTTTTATCGAGAAGCACAACGCAGTTTGTCTCTTTAATCACATTTTTATTTTAATATTATTAACTGTATTTACAATCTGTTATTAAAAATGATCAAGTGGCTATCCGGTTTAATCCGATTCACTGTTGTAAAGATTATTTAAAGGTATTTTGCTTGAATCCCAATTAATGTTCCTTAATACATTTTTTTCTCACTCTGTATGCAAATCTTTATAGGTTTTACAACTTGTAGCGTTATAAAGTCACTTAAAAAAAAAATAATTTTACTAAAATTCTGATAGAGAAAAACATTGCAGCTATCCTTACTTAATTTCCAAAATTGTGTTTCTTTTGTGACTTTGTAATTTGCAAGAATTTTTTATGAGAAGTTTTTATCAGTTCCTAAAATAAATTTATCTCATTCGCATTAATGCGGTTTTAATTAAATCCCCAGACTGTTTTCCTAGAAATCTCGTAACGGAAATAATTTGCAAGTTAAGCGCCTTACAGCGTTCTAATGTTCTTCGATACTTTTCTTCAATGCAAGCATTTTCCCATCTTCAACGTATCGAGCAGCTTTCCAATCGAAGCAACCAGTGTGCAGCATTTGTCGTTAGCTGTTCAATGACTTCTGTTGAAACATGAATCGACTACACAGGCGACACCCAAACCAAGCCCCCCGATTCCTATTCCGATTCCCAAGGAGTCAAGGAGCTGTGGCCAAAGGAGGAGCAGGAGTGGAAGCTTCCACCGGGCGGAGCAGAGCCACCTAATGCGCTTCCTCTTCAACAAATTCTTTTACGACTGGCTGTCTGTCTGTCTCAGTCCCCGCTCTTTCAGCTTCTTCTGGAAAAAGGAGCCGTCGGCGGCAGTCAAGCCCCAAACGTTTCCCCCAGGTCCATTCTACTGGTCCCAAACCCTTGCCTTTGTTGCTAAATCTTACACAGAGAGAAATAGGTAACCTAGTTAACTGATTAAAAAAGGTTATAAATGTTCTTTTAAAAGTCAATGAGAACACCTCTGTAGGTGTATTATCAATTTCAAATTCATTATTTTAAAACAACAACAACAATTAAAATCAAATTATCTAAGATACCGTTTAAATATAAACCACTTCGAACATTGACCACATACGATAATATATGTACTTAAGCAATAAAAAAATATTTTATTATCTGTTTAGAACACAAAAGTTTTAAGGATGATAATGTTGTTTAGAAAATATTCCAATATTTTTAGAAGTCCTATAAGTACTTGATAATAATAATGTTAGTCCTCAATTTTTTTCTATGTGCATCCTTAGTTGTCGGTACATTGGACTCATTTCGCACGCACACACTTGCACTTTGACGGGCGCACACAGACAAAGAGCTATTGCAAAAGTATGTCTGTGTCGACGTCGCCTCATTTAGCTTCTCCTTCTGCCTTCTGCCTGCTGTCCCGCCACCTGCCACCACCCCCTTGCAATCCCTCCCAAGTCCCCTACCCCGCCCCCTTGCGTCTACGCCCTCGCTGTTTCTAAAAACAAAACTCTTCCTTCTGCCGCTCCTCCATCGTCTTCTTCTTCTTCGCCGTCTACTTGCTCTGCTTCCTTTATTTGCAACATACATTATATGCCAACCAAGAGAGGGAGAGGGGGAGGGGAGAGAGTGCTGCCTGCCCGCTCGCACACTTGCAATCGCAATCGGCAAAGTAAATGGAAAGGCTCCCAACAACACTAAGCAAACGGAAAGTGAAAATTTGCTCCACTGAAACAGACAGCGAAAAGAGAGTGAGAGCGTGAGAGAGCTCTGCTGGATGTGGCTCTCTCACAAAGACAGGGAAAAGCACTTACATATGTACACTTGCATTGAGTCATAATCGTGTCGATTGCAGCAGAGACGTCGGCTCTCTCCCTCTCTGTCTGCCTCTCTTTCCCCACCCAATCTCCACACTTCGTCCTTCATCACTCCACCCTATCCCCATTTTGAGCACCTCTCTTTTGAGACAACATAGACCAGATGATCGCTTAGCCCTTTTGACGTGGCCTGACCCATTTGGCGAGCCACCGATAGCCTTCTCCAGAGAATTGGGGAGAATCGCAAAGAGAGGGCGGAAGAAAAGGGAGCAGAGCGCGGAGAGTGTAGAGTGGAGAGCACTGGGTCTGGGTCGCTGGCTGTGATTGTGATTGTTGTTATGTTACTTTTATTTTTAATCGCTCTCGATGTGTAATGATCTTAAAAGGGAAATAATCAGGCCTTTGTTGGGGCATCGGGAAAATGCTGTAATTCATTTAATTGAAATTAAGAGCGTCGCAATTCTAAAAATAGTTTGTGTAATATTCGTATCAATGCGAAAGTGGTTTGTTTACCAGAAAGCAATGATTTATTTACCACAACTTTTTTTTAATCACTGTTTGAGACGGGTTACCTAAAGTATTATTAATAATGATTGTTTTAAAAAACAATACATGTAGGACTATTTTAATTTGATTTCCTATTGCCAATCAGTATACTTTTTTAGTTAGTTTTAGTTTGGTTAGAAACTGATTTTATGTGGTAATTCTTCGAATAAAATGATGATGATGATCTTAACACTTATGTATCTATAGGTGGGGTGTTACAGAAGTCTATGGAAAATTCATACCAGTTAACTATTCTTGTAACAAAACATCTATGTATATAAAAGAGACTCCAGAGATCATTAAGAAAGGTCATAGAATGAAAAATAACTTGGTTCTTATAGATTGTATTTCCAAAAGAAATGCTTTCCTTAGAAATTTAAAACTTAAGTCTAGTGATCAATTTCTAAAGAGTTGCAAGTTGGATTGGTTTTTTTTCCCGTGCAGTTGAAAGTAATCCTAACTTGACAACATTCTTGAGGGACTTGCTACTGTGACCGCCCCTCTGCCCTCCCCTCACCCCCTCTTGCCAATCCCCTCGAGAATTGCATGCAAATGCGCATGTGGCACACAAATCCCCCCAAACATGCACACACACAGACACGCAGTCATGGTTGCAACTAGGAGGGGGTGGGGGCAAAGAGGAAGACGCAGCACAGAGAGAGCTCCAAACATTCGGACGCTCTATCTGCCGATTACGTTTGTTTGCCATTTTTGCGCTCTCTGGCAACGTTTTTCGCAATACCAGCGGCAGAGCAGCGGCGGCAGCAGCGTCGTCGTCGATTCAGTCGTGCATTCGTTCAGTCGGCGTAAGCGAGTCGAGCGAGCGAGCCCCATTCAGTCCGCCGATTTGCCACCTCTCTCTCTCTCCGCCTCTCCATCGCGCCTCTTCGCTCTTTTGCACCTGTGCAAGTGTGTGTTTCTCCCGCGGTGCGTGCTGTGTGTGTGTGTGTGCGTGAGCGGGGGGCACTGGGTGCACTGGTATTGGGGCATCGGTGAGTGGGGCGCGCGCGCGCTTTTGCTTGCCGCAGCATCGCAGTCGACGTCGCTGCTGGCGTCGGCGTTGGCGTCGCCGTCGACGTTTGTTGTTTGCGCCTAACAAACACTCGCAGCGGTTTTTGTGCTGACTTTAGATTTTAGTTTTGCTGATACCGTAAGAGATAAATGACGTGCCGCCGCGGAGCGACGAATTAGCGGCCCAAAACAGAAATCCAGCAGTCAAAACACAAACAGTTAAATAGCAAAAAAAAAAACAGAAGCAAGCAACAAGCAAATGTTTGTTTGGCCCACCAGCAAACATAATGTAATAGCTTAAAAATAGCAAAAATGTGTTTAAGTTTAAGCCAGAAAGTTAGTCTAAAAACGTCCACGATTAGTGCAAAAAAGTTCAAAATGTTATGAAAGTTTTCGAAATCAAACAAATACCTCAGCCGTAAAAAGAAGTAGAAACAAACAAACAAAAACAACGAACCGAGTGCAAAAACTTAGTGCAATTTCTCCAACAGAAAATAAAAAGTAAAGAAAGAAAAGTAAATCCCCCAAGAGCAGACATAAGAATCATGTCTAGAGTGTGAAACGTTGCGTATACGCAATATCGCTGAACCCCATTAGCGCAGACATCACGCATACGCCGCGTCGTGCAAAATGATTATGGTGCAACATTTGGTGGCCGCCTCGGCGCACAATTTCGCCAGCCAGGCGGCGGCGGCCCTCGTCAATGTGTCCAGCTCCAGTTCCAGCTCTAGTTCCAGTTCGAGTTCGAGTTCGAGTTCCTCCTCCTCGCTGTCCCTCTCGTCCTCCTCCAGCAGCTCCTCGCTGTCATCGGCCACGCCCACGCCGGTGGCCTCGCCCCTGACGCCCACATCGCCACCGCCGGCAGCAGCCGCTCCAGCAGAAGCCTCACCGCCAGCAGGAGCTGAGTTGCATGAGGAGGAGTTGGAGCAAAAGCAGGAGGATGCAACGTTAAAGGATCGGGATGAAAAGAAGGAGGAGGAGGAGGTCATTGGGGAGGAACCAGGTGCCATAGTTGATACCGAGTCAGTGATGGCGCGGCAAAGTCCAAGTCCAGCTGCGTCCACCAAAGTCCCCGAGTCACTAGAAGAGATTTCCCCCAAATCGCCTCCACCCAAAAAGGAGCAGTCGGAGGAGGAGGAGGAGGAGTCCGAGTCCATAGCCTCCGACTGTCGCGAGTTCAAAGTGCTCTACAATCACCTGAGGCAGCAGCAGCAGCATCATCCCGCCTCCGCCCCCGCACCCTCCTCGCCGGACAAGACGCGCAGCACCCTGGACGATGTGTCCAAGATCCTGTGGGAGCGTAAGCAGCAGTTGCAGCGCAGCTCGGTGATCACCGCGGCACCCACTGTGCACCATCAGCAGACCCAGCAGCCGATGAGCGACATCGAGGACGAGGAGACGCTAGAGGATGTGGACGATGCGGATGCGGATGTGGAGGCAGATGCCGAGGACGAGGAGCTGCTGGAGCAGTACCAGGATGGCTACGACTCCCCGCTGGACCTGTCGCTGGGCAGCGCCACAAGTGTGGCCGCTTCAGCTGCCGCTGCAGCCGCTGCCGCCTCGGCGGCCAGTCGACGACGCGGACGCACTTACTCCGGCACGGAATCCGACGACTCCGCGCAGTGCGAGCGGGCGAGGATGCGCCTCAAGCCGGAGCGCAAGGCGGAGCGATCGGCGGCCTACAAGAAGAGCTTGATGAAGCGATACTGTAAGTGGCCAGATATCTTAAACAAGTGATTGAATATAAACTGGGAAAGTTTCTTATTGAAAAACATTTACTGAAAAACATTATTATTTTGGTCTCCTTAATTTCCTGGGAATCTAAACCTTGATCTTAAAAATAACTAAGAAACAGAGTATCTTTGTAATATATATTTTAATATATATATATTTTAATCGTTCAAATAATGAGTTATAGATCCAATAAAATTCCATATTTTATTGGGAACTCTTTAATAGATCGTATAATTTTCTGTAAACCTTAACAAGCAAACAGAACTATCAGATTTTAGTAATATCTTGTTAGGATCTTATATATTTTGCAGTAATTAAAATTACTAAAAATACAAATTGCGAAGAATATACATTAACAATTTCATAATTCTAAGTATGTTAAACATACAAACATATTTTCATAAACAAAATCTATTTTTATGAGGTATCCCCAAAATGTAGTATTATAAATATCAACTTCTTTCGCTATTCTACTGAAAATAGATTCCATTTAAATTTATTAGCCACCATTCCCAATGTTTGTTGTGTTTTTATACAAATATTATAGTAATTAAGAGGCAATGAATCAGCAGTCTGCCGTCCAACTCCCCCATCTTTCACTGGCCGAAATTGTGAAATGTCAATTTGGCAAGAGCAAGAAATGTTTATAACGAAAAACAATGCAGGGAAAAAGAGTGGGGCAGCCAGAGGCGAAATAAACATTATTTAAAATAGCGCAATTTCCGCCGGCGGCGCTGCGTTGAGAAGCGGTAGAAGCGGCAGAGGCGGTAGAAGCGGCGGCGGTAGAAGCAGCGAGTCTACGTCAACGGCTTCGTAACAGTTTCCTAACCCACCTCAACAATTTTATTGATTACTTGAGGCGGCAAACGCCACGCAGAGAGCATAAAATAAAAAAAGAGAGCGGCCCCGTCTATAAACTATTGCGCTCAGCTGGCTGGGTTTCTGTTCCTGGTATCTGTGTATTGGTATCCGTATCTTTGGCTCTCCGCTCGCTGCATTCGCTAGTTTGTAACGCGTATCTGTGAGTCTGCCTTTTGGTTTTCGGGCTGCCTGTGTGTCTTGGTGTGGAATAGTTTCCCAGTCACTTGCTCTAAAACTGCCACAGCAACTCGCCAACTTGCGACTGGCAACTGCTAAATGAGCTGGAGTCTCCGACTTGGTCTTCAGTATCTGTAGCTGTATCTGTATCTGTAGCTGTGGCTGTGTCTGTGTGTATCTTGCACTTGCTACATAGCCACTTGGATATATGTATATCTGGTAACCCTAGCCAACAACTTGTTTCCTCTATTTGACTTTTACACGGGGCGTCGTCGTCGTCGTCGTCGTCAGCAAAATCCAGCTCCCGGGCTGCTGCCTTCACTTTTGCCGAAGTTTACCCCACTTTAGTTTGGGTTTTCGCTTGGGTTTTTGATTTTGATTTGGCCCGACTGGAGAGCCCTGGGCTTCGGATACACACCAAACCGCCAATTGCAGTTCTTGGCCAAGTGGCTGGCGGAAATGCTCCTCTCTCTCACATCTCGCATCTGGCCAAAGTGGTCGCCGCCAACAGATTTATGCAGTTTGGAAAGGGGGGAAACTAAGCTTCTTGAAGGGGGAAAAACCGAAAGTGGGAATCGTAATCTTAATCAAGGGGAGAGAAGGTTAAAATAAGTTAAAGGGCTTCGTTAGTGGACTACTAGAAAATTCTATCTTTAAGTTGTATGACAATATTTCCAGGACAAATAAAAATAGCCTTGCTTTAATCTAAGTCAAATAAGTTGGTTAAGCAAATTGGCATGTTATTAGACGTACATGAAAAGCAAATAAGATGGTTATTAAGAAAGATATTTAACTATGGTAAATAGTAAGGTGACAAAAGCAAACTTATCTTAACTGGGGGAAATCAACCTTAATTATTACAGATAATTACTTAAAGTATTTGTATTCAAATTGCTACCTATGAATTTGAAATTAACAGAAAAATAAATATTCATTAGGTTATTAATGTTGATTTATTTATTCTTTACTCATTAAATATTTCAATATACTTGTTTGCATATATTGTAGCCAAATTAACTTAAACTAATTACTAAGCCAAACGATTTGGCTGAATTCCCCCATAAATCGAACGGCTTAAAATGATTGGAAGTACGCAAAATCTGCAAGTGGAACCCCCTTGACCGCCTCGCTCCAAAAACCTGCAGCTTCTGTCGAAATATTCCCGTCGGTCGGTAAATCTCTTGGGTTTCCTTTTTACCAGACTCCATATCAGACATGGCCATATTATTTGTTTTTCGCACACAAATTCCTAGATGATATATATTTTCCGCTTGCGACACGACACAGCATTTCCATCTTTTATTTATATGTGCTTTAACCTTTTTCATAGTTTGTTTTTCTTTTTTTTACTATTTTTCCTGGCTGCTTGTGTGCGTTCCTCATGACTTCATTTTGTGGGGCTTTGTTTTGGTTTCTGGTCTTACCTTCAACCTTTCGACGGCAGCCGTATTGAACCACCCACTCGAAATGAGGCACACGAGTGGAGGCAACTTTCAATTGCGACATGCGGCGGAGAGCGGTGGGCTCTCTCTACCGCTTTACCCCTTGCCACCCCCTCCCGCAGCGTTTCTTTACATGAAAAAAACCAGTTTGTAGCGTCTGTGTTTGCTCACTTGCGACTGTGTGTGTGTGTGCGCTGTGGGAAATAGTGGAAAAGAGCGCCCCCTGCGAATGCCACCCCCCGCCCACTGCCACCCAACTCAACGCTCTGTTGCTTTTTTTCAGGCCTAACGCAAAACATTTTGAGGTAGGTTGGGAATAGATTGGCAACAACTGCGCACACACACACAGATACACTCACACATACCATTGCACACTCAGAGCGTGCGCGGAAAAACTTAAATTTCTCGTTTCGTGGCAAGAAATTAGCAAATGATTTTCCATTTTTTTTCTTCTTTTCCTTTTTTTTTAACCCAAATACGGCGGCGGCGGCGGCGGCGATTTTTTCGCATTAGAATTATGTAAGCTGCCCCATATAAACAAACAGTAGGCCTATACGTACCGCACGTATCTTTCTCTGGCTCAGATTTTGTAATCGCTTTGGCTTTACTCATAATTTGCCAACGTAGGTTCTGCTCACTGGGCAATGGAGCTTATCTCCTTATCGGTAGACGAGCAGACAATCCTAGTGGCAGGGATTATGTCACTGGCTGGCCATGTAACTCAATTACAAAATCGGATTAGCAAAGATAGATTCAAGAAATCGAAATCGAATTGAGCAAATTTTTCCCGCTCGCAGTGCAGCCGATGTGGCCATATGGTCAGCGGACAGCCGAGTGCAATGGGTCGGGTCAAGGCCCAAACTTGTTGCTGGGAAATTCGCGACAACGAGGCGAATACGTAATGCGGCTACCTAGAACTTGCCGCGGTTACCGAAACTTCCGTTTTCGGAGCGCGGGTCTTAAATTCTTGGTAAACCAGCTGCCAAACGGTTGTAAAAACCCACACTATAAAATGCCGCTTTTATTGCATTTAACCTATGCTTAAAGCCAATTAAGAAACTACAATCTATGTATTATTTGCTTAAAATGGAAAAAAAAACCTTTTTGAAATAGAAGGTTAGTCAATTGACAAACTCTCTTACTCTAAATGAAAGTTATTTTAAATGAAGATCATTCAGAAACATATATATTTAAAGTTTAACAAGCATATTTATAAAATACTTATTTGTTATAAATTGTTACCTCAGAACTTAAATTAGTTTTCTCTAAATTATAGAGTATAAATATAGTTTTCTTTGTCAAACTGCCAAGCTAATATTTTTCCATGATTAGCTGGTTAAACATTAATTAATTAACTTGGCAATACCCGAACAGAATTATAATATTGACTTCCAATTAGCACATGGAACCGCATAAAAACTCGACGCGTGACCAAAAAAGGGTTTTTCTATTTGTCTGAATAGAAAGTGTTAATTTAAACAGAAGTTACCAGAAGTGACACATTATTTAAGTGTTGAAAGAGCTATAAATATAATATAATAATAAACAAATACAATCAAGCAGAAGACATTGTTGATGAATTAGAATGCTTTTGTGAAATGCTAATGTTACTCAAAATCATTATTACTAAATTATGCAACAATAAAATGATTTATATTCATAATACAAATTATTTACCCAGCATATGACAAATAATAAATATATATTTAAAACATATGCCAGCTATTAAAAAAAACACGCATTACAAAATCTCATTTGAGCGATCGCCACAAATTCGAAAGGCATATAAAATCATCTGCCCTGGAGGCAAATGCGTCAATCTATATGCACATTATACCACACCATAAAACAAATAAAAGTACTTAATGACAAATTAAAACAAAGATTCGCCCAAAAATAAGGTACAAAACAACTGAAAGTATATAAAATTACAATATATATTTCCTTTTGTGCGATACGCGAGATTTTCGAGTATAGAGAAATAGCGGTCATAAAAAATGCAAAAAAACAAATGAATGCAAAAAAGAAAACAAAACACATGAGATCGGAGCGGATTCTCGTATCATTTCTTAATGCGGAAATATTGAAGAAGAATTTCTGCTGTCTATATAAACACACCAATGTGCGTGCGTGTGTGTGCGGACTTGTATTTTGTATTAAATGCATATGTAGCTTAAATAAACATACATTTCGTACGACAATGAGAAATTGCCTGATATGCATATGTCTCGCTGTCTGCGTCTGTGTGTGGTGTGTGTGCAAACAATGAGAATCTGGTGTCTGTGTGAGCAGTGTGCCTTTTGCTGGTGTGCGTTATCCGCGAGACCTTGAACTTGAGACTGAATTTCCAAAAAGCGAACACACACACAAAGCCACGAAAAAAGCGAGAGAACAACAACTGGCTTTTATTCTGGCCACCAATACATGGGCGCCTGTGAAAGCAGCGACGCCGGCAGCGGCATAAAAGCCAAAATAAGTCGGCAGAACAGGAATTTAGAGAGCCAAAGAGAGCCGCAGAAAAGAGAAGGCAAGAAGTTGAGAAGTGGAGAAAAAAGGGGAATAGGGAATGGGAACGGGAATAATGGGGATCGTGCAAAAACGAGGTAGACGGAACCCGAAAAAAAACATATACCTACATATAAAAAAAAACTTTTGGGGAAGAGACATTCACGCCAACAACAAATACAACACAATTGCCAAACAAACACATAAATTATAATATTTAAATATAGAACTTTTGCGTTGTTGTCGCCCGTTCCTGTTGATTTTGTTTTCGGCTCTTTGTGCATTTTACTTTCGTCTGTGGCGACTGCATTCGTATTAACTTGAATTCAGCTTTCTTCCACCACACCCATAACTCTATTGTTTTTTTAAATGTTTTTTTTATTTGGCACCGCCATAAATTGTATTATTATTATTATTGGTAATAAATAAATAAACATGTATCCCAGTTGAGGCACATTTTGATTCCGGTTTGGCGCATATTATTGCGCCACACAAGTGAAATTATCGATACAAAACAATTTCTAGTTGTTGTCGTTTTTGGTTTGGGCCATTCGCGGAATTCGTGGGGCATCCATCGCGGGTTTTTGTAATAGTTTTTATGATGAATAGAATTTGAATATGTGTTTTTTGCTGGCTAGCAAGTAGGGCAAGGCAATTTTATGATGGATTATTTGGTTTTAAGGGAGTAATCCATTAAATGTCAAAGAAATGAAAGATATATTAATTATGTTCATTTTATTTCCTATTTTAATTGTAAATTTTGTAATAATAATATAATTCCCTTGAACTATTTTTAAAATAATTTATTTAAAATATACGTTTTAAAAGGTATTCCTTAAAAAGATTTTTTAAATATCTTGAATAACATAAAAATTGAATATATTTTTTTATTTAAACTGAAGATAAGTTAAAAATTGCAATAGAAAATACAATAAAAAAAAAAAAATATTATCCATTGTAATTTGATCGTTCAAACCAGCGCCATAATCCAAAGCCAACCACTCTGAAATATACAATTTCATTTGCCTACTTTCCACTGATTAATGTCAGATGAAAATACATTGTGTGTGATAAAAGCTGAGCTCAATAGGTAAATCCCCCCTTCGGCTGGGGCCCACACATAAATTCACTTTCCGTTTCTTACCTACTTACTTACCAAACCGCCCACAACTCACAAGACATCAAAAAATAGGCCAATAACCAAAATACCATAAACAATTACAAATTGGTGTGTGCAATTGTTGCTGGGCAGACAGGCGGGCAGCTTCTACGGCTTTCGGAAATGCTACGAAAATTGTAAACAAAATTCAAGCACCTCCGATGACGCCTTAGCCAACAAAGCTACAGCCAAAAACAAAACTACAAAACCAAAATAAAACAAAAGACCTATCGGCTCTATAAGGCGGACTAATCATCGAGGTAACAAGCGGCGATGGCTCGTACCTACATTGACCTACTATTGCGGCAAATGCTGCGCTATCCGCCGGAATTGTGATGTAACTGTCCCAAAATGCCGCGCACATATCAACGAGCCAGTTCAAGTCCAAATTCGACTTCGAATTCAGCCAAAGAAAAATATATAAAAAATAGCAAAACCCACCAGCTCACATGCATACGACTTTACCGTTAATTTCTTTGACATGTCTCAGTGTGTGTGCGAGTTGTTTTTTATTATTTTTCATGTTTGCCAATTTTGCTTTGTTTTCTCGTAATAAATTTAATTTTTTTTTTTCCTCCTCTTGTATCTCTGTGTATTTTGTGTATTTTGTCGGTTGGTTAGTTTCTGCTGGTTTTATTAGACCGCATTTTTAGAGGTCAGCGCACATTTGGCGCAGCATTGCAATGTTTTGTAGACTCTATTACCACTGGCTATTTGTCTTTCTTTCTGCCGTGTTTGTGTTTGTTTATGCACCATTAAAGCTGAACCTCTGGCGGTCTGATTGTCGGTTTCTGTTTTTTTTTGTTGTATTTTTGCCATGGGGGCGCCACAGAATACAGTACAGTGAAAGCTCTTCAGTGAGGAAATCTTTGTATATTCCTTGCCTTCCTTCCGCTGTACAACTAGGCGTATGCCTGATTTCAGAGGTCGTATATTACTCATACGCCTAGTATGCCACACAGGAAGTAACCGCTCACGTTTTCTACGTACAGACATAAACTATTTCAACGGGGATAAACACAATACATTGAATTAATATTTCCAGGAATTTTCTAGAGCTAATATAAAAATGCAAAAATAAAATGTTAAAAATTATAGAAGATAGGTATATCTTTTTTTCATGGAAGATATTATAGCCATAGGTTTTTCTTTGGTTACTTGTCTCTTTCAATAGATTTGTTTAGACTTTGCCATGTCAGTGGTTTCTTAACTGGAGAACTTTAAGCAACTCAACTTGTCGGTGGCCACCTGCAACAAATTACGCATACGCCGCGTATGCCGCAGTAAAAAACAACACGTGAGCACTTCCCCACGGAAAAACTAAAAAAGAAAAACGCAGACAAGCGCAGAAAAATCGAGCCAAGTGACGGGCATTTCCGACATTTCCACTTCGACAAGCGATTAAAGCCCCCAAGTAAATAGAGGGAAATTCTCGGCAACGAAAACTTGGCGAAAATTATATTTATAATTTTCGTTAAAAAAGTTGCTGCTGTTGCAGGCTAATTGTGGGTGGGAAGGGGGTTCGGTGGGTAGGGGGTGGTGTGTAGAAGGGGGAGGGATAGGGGGAGGGGGGAGTTGGATCTGGTTAACCAATGCAACCGCACAGCTGTTTTGTTGCCGCGCGATTTCCGTCACGACTTTGGCTTTTTATTTTTGTGGGTAAATACGCTTTTGTGCTGCTGCTGCTTTTGAATTTTTTACATATCAAAAAAAATATGGGTTTATATATATATTTTTACATGCTTCTCATTCACCCACGACGAGCGGAGCGGCGGGCGGGCGGCAATCGAAACGAGACGGCTACGTTGCACAGTGGGGCAAGCTGCTAATGAAGGGGAAATAAATTATCAATCTTGTAATAATTTAAAATTATTTTAGGAATTATTTAAAATTAAATATGATTTTATGTTTAAATATTTAGTTTTAGTATCTTAAAAATTTTAATTTAAATTGGTAATTAGTTTAAGTTATATATTATAAACTTTGAAAAATATGGAAGGGGAAAAAAATTTCAGTCAGTGTATCATCAGTAATAAAAACATATAATAAAAACATATTCAGCTTAAATTCAAAGTTTTCGCAAAAAATGTAATACGCAGATTCTTTAAATATTTAGTTATTATTTATTTATTATCATAAACCTTTTTAATTTTATTTGGTAATTAGTTTAAAATATATACTATAAATTTTAAAATATATGGAAGGGTAAAAAAAATGTTCAGTCAGTGTAATGTAAATTAGTTTCTTTAAAAACATATTCAGCTTAAATTCAAAGAGTTCCCAAAAAATGTAAGACTCTGCGTCTATTATTTTCTTCTGCAGAGCGATTAGCAAGGAATTTTCATACCTATTCAATACATATAGATAGGCAGTTTAAATTTCTACCACTCTGCATAGGCCTTTTGGCCCAGTGTGCGATGTCGGCTGGGCCGCCGTGTATTTAAAAAGCTGTAAAAAGCACTCGCACACAGCCGCAACATGCAATAATGCAGCCAGCAAAGCATAAATTGTAAACTCGTCGCCGTTGCCGACAAGCCTTGACCTGATTTCTCTTCCTCTCTTGCTGCCACCCGTCCGTGTGTGTGTGTGTGAGTGCTGTGTGAGGGTGTGTGTGAGTATCTGTGAGAGTGAGTGTGCTTGCAAGCTTCATTGCTCCGCTGGCTTTGACGTTTTCCTGCACACTGCAGTGTGTGTGTGTGTGTGTGTGTGTGCGTACCGCTTGACATTCAATGCAATTTTTTTTCCCTCTGCTTATTTTCATGCCGCTGCGGCTGCTGCATGAAATAAGTGAAAATGCACTTTTACTTTTCAGCTGCAGCAACAACAAAAACAACAACCACAACAGCAAAAGCCAAAGGAAAGTGAGAAGCTAATTTTTTTGCTGTTTTTTCTGCCTTTCCACTGGCTGTTGGTTGTTTTTAACGGTTGCGAGTTCATGGCTCACCAAATTGGGGCATTTCAATTGTTTCGTTTCGTTTGGTTTCGTTTTGTCTTATTCGTTTTCCTTTTTGCATACATATTTCGCTCAACATGACATTTCTATGAAATTATGATGCGAATTTTTGTATTATTAGCCCGTTGGATAGGCATTTTGACAGCTGTGAAGAGGACAGGGGCGTAGCCAAGTGGTTTAGGGGGGCAAAAAAGAAAAGATGAGGGGGCTGCAAGGGCCCTGCAAAAATATTTCGCGTTAAGGCTAAGTATTCGTTTAATTGGAACAGCAACGGCGACTGGGGATTTGAAAGTGTAGGGCACACATTTCAGGTGATTGAAGCACTCGCCAAAATTTAATTCAAACTGATGTTGCTGAAGGATGTTTTATTATTCAGCTATTACCTTTGTCGACAGGGGATATTTTTAATGCACATGATTATTTAAGCTCATTAAGGCAGAGACAATCTTTAATTGTAGTTGATGTAGCTGAAGGATCTTTACATATCCAATGATTTTAAGATTTAGGAATATCATTACACTACATACACTACTACAATATTAGCAGAAATACTTGGATTCAATGTTTAATATCATATCGTATCTTCCTAAAAACAGTCCAACCAATATTTTAGTACCCATATTAATAAAGAAAATTAATGTTAATAGAAATTGATTTACTTAAAGGAAAATTACATCAGAAATTAATAAGATTATTTAAGTGACAGCATTTTAAACCATCTTTCCCCGTTTCATATCCCTTTCAGACACTGAAATTCCTATTGTCAAACAATCGACGAGTCCGGCACCGCAACAGCAACACCAGCAACAGCAACACCTGCAGCAGCACCAGCAACAGCAGCCGCTCAATGCGACCACCTTCGCCGGCGCCACCGCCCTGCTCCACATCAAGACGGAGCAGAATGCGCTGCTTACGCCGCTCCAGCTGCAACAACAGCAGCAGCAACAGCAGCAGCAGCAGCACAGCCTACACGGTGCAGCGGGCAACGGTGGCAGCAACAACGGCAACAGTGCCCACCAGCAGCAACAACCGCTGGCCATACCGCACCGCCCGCTGCTCCACAATTTGCTCAGCGGCGGTGCCATCCACAATCCGCACCACAGAAACTACACGACGGCCACAACAGGTGAATATACGGCAATCAAATTATTATTTATACATTTTCCCGTGGTTTTTATTGCTTTAAAACAACTTGATCTTAAGGGGGATTCAATAAATATTTCAGAAATACATTTTCTTTACTTATAGCAGATTCTTAAGGGAAAATAACATTTTTAGAAGTTTTTTTAATAACATTGTAATGTAAAATGAAATATTAAATATTATAATGACGTATATATATTAATATTACGTAAGTAAAGGCTTATTTTGTACTGATTTTCTAAAAATTACTTACATTATATCAAAAATATTTATAAATAGCAGCGTAAATACAAATTGCCATCAATATTTTAAAAAGGCAGGGAACTGAAAATATATGTGATATTAAAAAACAATGTTAAGGACTAACTTACATATTATACTTCATTAATTAATGCTGAAAACTGTAGAAAAATGAACTTAAGAATATTTTAAAATGTAATAATAAGAGGGCAACCATAGTATTACCACAATACCCATGTAAAATCAAAAGAGATCACGTTTTTTTCGAGTGTAACTGCCTGTGAGGCGAGCGTGTCCAGCAGCAAGGTGAACCACTGAGCCACTGAGCCACTGCACACGCCCTCGACTCGATTCGAGCCATATCGATTGCTAATTGCCCCTCTTCTTGGCTCGTCCTCCCCCCGCCTCTGTATCCCGTTCGCAGGTTCATTTCCGCCCAGTCCCGCGGACAGCGGCGTCTCCGACGTGGACAGCTCCAGTTCCGGTGGCCAGCCCTGCGCCGACGAGCTGAAGGCGCGTCTCGGGATGCCGGCGGCCACCTCGGCGTCGGCAGCGGCCGCAGCAGCGGCGGCGGCAGCGGCAGCGGCACACCTGCACACGGGCACCTTTCTGCATCCGAATTTATACCAGAACAATGCGGCGAATTCGCTGCGGAACATATGGAATCGCAGTGTTGGGGGTGAGTATACAAGTATGTCTGGGCCAAACGTGGCCAACTTTTAGCTGTGTGTGCAGGAGAACTTTACTGGCAAACAAGGATTAAGGCTAGAACCTCATATTCCTTTAGTTTTTTATTAGATTAAAGCAAGAACCTCGTTTCCTTTTAGCTTTTTATAGACCCTAAGTATGCAGACATTGCCAACAATTTGTGTTGTTTTTCATGACTTGGTCGATATCACAATAACAGGTTATTTATAGAGAAAAAGGAACATATTAAACGGTTTAAAAATACGATATATATATATTAATTCCGATGTTAAAGTAAACACTTATTGTTTATTGGGTAAAATATTAGAATAAATTTTAAATTTTTTGAAAACTGTATTTAAAAATCCCTTCTTAGATAACTGGGGATTATAGAAAAGGACAATTTTACATAGTATGAAGGAAATGATTCTGTTCCGGTCTCAAAAAATATATTTAAAATCATTCAATACATAAGAGTCTGTAAAAGTTTAGGATCTATAAATTATATAGATACTTATATAGCAACATTTATAAGGTAAAGCATAGAAGGAAATTTTAATTGTATGATAACCGTCTTTATAAATTCCTTTAAAAATAACTGAGCATTAATAAAAAGAGGTTTGCTTAGCAGGAAAGAAAAGATTCTTATCCGTTTTCAAAAAATCTGATACGAAACATTTCAAAACAGTCTGTAAGACCTTAAGAATTTACCCTTTATTGGTAAATAGCTTAAGTTAACGATTTGATCTCAGCCTAGAACCGTTTTATCTCAGCCAATTAATCCTATGACCTAATGAGACATTTGCATTTTGCAATCAATCTGAAGTTGCTATAATCTGTTGCATACATAATGCACTCCTAATCCAACTTGCTCTTTTTTTACAAAAATGTCAGGCAAACAAGGCGCACACGCACACTTACACAAACACACACACACGAAGAGTACAATCAATTGCAATGAGATTGTGTTGCACTCGCTGCTCTTAAGCTCTCCGCCAGCTGAGTGTGTGTGTGAGTGCGCGCTGCCGTATAAAAATCTGTGGTCATCGACACATTGCCTTTGCGCAAATTGTGAAGGTCACAACGACAACGACAACGAAAGCAACAGCAGCAGCAAAAGCAACAACAACAGCAGCCCCAATGTGGCAATAATGCTGCTCTCCCGCTCTCTTTTTTCTTCCAGAGAGAGAGAGGGAGAGGGAGAGAGGGATAGAGAGAGTGCCAAACACCAACGCAAATGCAACAGCAACACGAATGGGACACACGAGCGCAGCGTGCGTTGCTCTCTGTGCAGAGTGTCGGTGTGTTGGTGAGAGAGTGCTGCTCACTTTTGTTTTTATTCAGCTTCAGCTAAAGTCTTCCCCCCACTCCACCTCACCCCACCCCCTTTGCAACACCCCCTTTCAAATGGTCCATCGAGTGCGAACCCGAATCCAAATCCGAAACTGAATCCGAATCCACCGACTGCCAACTGGCTGAGCCGCGAAATTGGGCAACGGCAACGCCGGATGTAAAAAAAAATAAACTTACTAAATAGCACACAAAATTATACCTGTGCCACCACAGAAAAGCAGAAACGGTGTGAAATAGTCGCCAGCGATCTGCGATCTGATACCATGGGACGGATTGGCTTTTCAGCAGACAGATTCATGTCATGTTTTGTAAATTTAAAAACAACAATTTTTAAATGTCAAGTGGGTCGGCTATAAATCTCTTCTCCTAAGCTAAAATTAATGTTCTTTGCCAATTTGATTATAAAAAGATAAAACTTAAAAAGATAAAAATTAAAAAAAAAATGTACCCTAACTCAAATATTTTTTTCTTGAAAAATTTCGTAAAGAAAACTAAGTTTAGATATCTATAGAGAAGGAAAATCTCTCACCGCAGAGCCTAAAAGTATGCTACAATCTATGTTCCAAGCGCGATCCCTACAAATAAAATATATAAAAAAGAGGAAAAACTAAATGCATATTTATTTAAAATTTATAATTTTATTTAAAAAAAGGCCTTTAAAAAAAATTTTTTTTCATTAAGGAAAATTAAATTTTTAAATTCTATACTTAGCTTGAAAAATCCGCACTTCGTAACTATTTTAAGCTAACAAATTTAAAGACTTTAAAACTTAAGAAAAAACTTTTGAGTACTTTTTAAGAAAGCACACAGTAGGTAGGGTTGCTAGCAAGAACAGAGCCAATGACAAATTTGATTTTAAGATCTGAAGACTGCTTACATTTTAGTTAGAAGATTTAATTGAAGGAGCTTAAGATGGCATTTTATCTTTTGATATTGTGTGACACATTTTTTCTAATGTTCTAATGTTTTCGTTCCAGTGCCCGACAACTATTACGGAAGCAGTGCCGCCGGCAGTGGGAGCGGCCAGCCAGGTGGGCCAGGCAACCCCCAAACGCCGGGCTACCTGCCAACGTCCTACTTCAACGCCCCAACAGCAGCGGCGGCGGCGGCGTCCCAGCGTGGAACCACCATCAACGGCTATCATTCCCTGCACCAGCAGCAACAGCAGCAGCAGCAACAGCAGTCGCAGCAATCGCAGCAGCAACAGCAACTGGCTCACCAGCAACTGTCGCACCAGCAGCAACAGGCATTGCACCAGCAACTGTCGCACCAACAGCAGCAGCAGCAGCAACAACAGCAGCAGCAACAGCAACAGCAGCAGCAGCAACACCCGCACTCGCAGCTGAATGGCCCGCATCCGCATCCGCACTCCCATCCGCATTCGCATCCGCATCCGCACGCGGGCCAGCACACGCATTCCACAATCGCTGCAGCGGCAGCGGCAGCAGCAGCGGCCTCCGTGGTCAGCAGCAGCAGCAGTGCCGTTGCAGCGGCGGCCATGCTGAGCGCCAGTGCAGCGGCAGCGGCAACGGCAGCAGCGGCGGCGGCGGGCGGATCCCAGAGCGTCATCCAGCCGGCGACGTCCAGCGTCAGCTACGATCTCTCCTACATGCTGGAGCTGGGCGGCTTCCAGCAGCGCAAGGCGAAGAAGCCGCGCAAGCCCAAGCTGGAGATGGGCGTGAAGCGGCGCAGCCGTGAGGGATCCACCACCTACCTGTGGGAGTTCCTGCTGAAGCTGCTCCAGGATCGCGAGTACTGTCCGCGCTTCATCAAGTGGACGAACCGGGAGAAGGGCGTCTTCAAGCTGGTGGACTCGAAGGCGGTGTCCCGCCTGTGGGGCATGCACAAGAACAAGCCGGACATGAACTACGAGACGATGGGCAGGGCGCTGAGGTACTACTACCAACGCGGCATCCTGGCCAAGGTGGATGGCCAGCGGCTGGTCTACCAGTTCGTCGATGTGCCCAAGGACATCGTGGAGATCGACTGCAATGGCGTGTGAGGATATGATAAGGATGCCTGTACATATAGCTCGATCCGAAGGCGAGTCGAGCTGGCATGGCAATAGGTTCTGGGGTGGGGTAAAATCAACCGGCTAGCGGCAATAGTGGCTAAAGGCCACGCGAGTTAGGGATTTCTTTGTACATGCGTTGAGTTTCTTGAGGTTAGCCAGCGATAAGCATAAGTTACATCTAGCTGATAGTCCCCATACGCGTACATATATACTTATATATATATATATATTCACACCCTGTGTCCTGTACCCTATACATACACCCAGCTAAATCGGCGGTAATTAATGATCTATTCATTGGCGTTAGTGTTGTACTTGTAACTGTAACTTTAATTGTAAACTGTAACTGTAATGAATATTGTTATTATTGGTTATTATTATGATTATTACTATTATTAATATTATTATTGCTATTGCTATGGCGGAAGGAGGAAGGACGAGGGACGACCGAATTGATTCATATTGATATTCGATAGATGTGTGTAATATGTAAATGAGTACGAACCCATATAGCTGCAAGAAATTCTCTATCTCTACTGATCTAAATCTAAATGTATATGAGTATGTATATGCCTAGCCTAATGCCCTTTCAACTGTCCCCCACCCCCCGCTGCCCAAGGACAAACACAGTGCAGAGGATATAACTTTACACATTATATATCGGATATATATGCGGATCTGAACGATCTGCGTGGGTGTCTGTGCTTGGGCTAATTGTTTTTGTTGCTTATTTTATAAAAGAAGAGAGATGGAAATTTATTATTTCATAGTTTTAGCTATTTGTACGATTACGATTAGGTTATTTATTTAAGTGTTTCTCCAGCTAAACCCCTTAACTTCCCCAAACCACAAACAAAAACACACACACACTTCCTAACTGGAGCTAAGAACCCAGACAACTGGTGGTCTAAACTTTCTTGTAATTATTATTTGATAAGTTTTGTATATTTACAACATCAAAAGCAAAAAAAAACTCACAGGATAAACCAGAAGAAAAGCACTCCTTGAGCCATCGTTTAAGCAGTCCTAGAACACCGAACCAAACTCAACTTTCTCTCGATCTGATGTTTATTTATAAAGCGTAAAGTTAAACTATCGTATTCTTGTTAACGTCACACTGCCACAAATCGAAACAAGCCTAACAGAATGGAACAGATCTGAACGGACAACCGAACAGAACCGAGATACTGACCCATAGTTTCAACAATACTGCTACCGCAATCCTCAATGCAATATACCGACAACTTCTACAATAATTTCCAAACACTGCCCAAAACGTGCAATCTCTGAAAAGGAAACCTTGAATAGGAAAAGAGAATAAAACCAACTCCTAGTTCTTTAATCTATTTCTTTAATAGTTGCGTTCTCTAAGTACCTTTATCTATTATTATTATTATTATGTGTACGTGAAGATGAAATCTACAATATATCATTTTGTTTATGATGATTGGTGATTGATGATGCAAATAAACAAAGTGAGTCTTGAGTTCAACTCTGTTCATTGTAAACAATTTTTTATGATTATTTTTTATTTTTTAAATAAAATTATTATTTCAATTTGTGCATGCGTTTTATTTACATCAAGCCCAAACAGAAAAACACACCAAGAAACAAAAAACCAAAAGAAGAATAGCACGTAAGCAAAAGATATGATACAAATACAAATATATGGAACCCGCTACAAATTTGGAATCTAGATATACCTCCCATGAAAAGTACATAAAGTTGCATAAGTTAAATTATATTCAAAGTCTATATAGGATAGTCGAACGGATTACCGATATTTGAAGTCGAGATCGCATATTTTAGATAAAGTCGAATTGGTGTATTTTGTAGTTCTAAGACACAGTATGGCATTTGACACCATTTCACGAGGTCTCAGTTTATGAGGTTTCCCCCACAGATCATGGATTTATATGTATGTCTACTTATTAGTGTAGGGCATCGCATCTACCATTACCTAGCGTAAATCAGTTATTAGTTGTTAGGGATGAATATTAAATGTTATAAGGATGCTAGCTGTAAGCACACCCACAAACAGAAGCAGAATCGAACCATATGAACAAAAAAGTCACGACTCGAGTACAACGAAATCAGTAAACATGAATCTGAGCCACAATCCGAAGAATACAGCTTTAAAACGAGATAGTACTTCCCAAATTGATTTTCGCAATTCCCAGAAAGACTTTCCTTCACTTCGATAGCCTAAAAACAGTTGGAAACTCCAACCCCAAAGCATTTATACATGCTAAGCACGATAATTGTATATAAACAACTTCTGGACCTCATGATTCCACTTGATTATAAACGTATTTTATATATATACACCAATTATTTGTTAGATTGGACAACCCCTGAATGCTGGATAAGACCAACTAAATTAAATATTAATGAATACCGATGCCGTTTGGCAGGATTTCTATACTAGGCTAAGACAACATAACTTTCTATTGGTAACTCAAAAAACGAAACGAACTATATAGCTTTTAAATCGAACGTGCGATAATTTCAATATACTCTTTGGCGTCTGAGAAAAGGGGAACGTAAGTCTCTCCAAAGGCACGGATTGGCCCAGATTTAGATAAATATGTTGTATTTACTAACATTAGTTATGATTAGTTTACGGCTAACTAACCTAAGTTAAGTTTTTGCTCGTTTATTTGAATTTTTGTTTGATCTTTGTACATTTGACAGACACATTTTAAACTGTCTGCGATGAGAAATCAGCTAAAGCCAGCCACAATATATCTAATATATATACTTTAATGCATATGTAGTAAGGAAACGCAAGTTGGATCGAAGACATGGTATGTAGGTGAATTTTATGGTTAGAGGAAAGCGCTAGCGAACGGATTAGATTAATTTTTATAAGAATGCATTAAAAACGAAGCAAGAGCAGCAGTCACCAGCTAGCATAATTATTTACTGTTACGAAAACATAAGAGTTTTAAGGATTTTAGCTAAATTTTGTATATTTTAATCTACAAACCATAAAATATATATATTATCTGTTTTATAAATAACAATAAAACGAAAGTGTGTTTTTATGTCAGTATCAAATAATTATTGGGCGTCGGAAATGAGGTGATTATAAATAATATTTAATTATGCTGTCCAAAAAAAAGTTGAACGCACAAAAAACATGGATTTACACATTGCATATTGTATGTTTTTAGTGTTCTCAAAACCAAAAGCGTGGTACTGAACCATGGTTGGAGACACCGCTGTCCGCATTTATTTTTGGTATGTTTTCAGTATTACCTAGATTATAGCTGGATTCCACTGTGTATTATTTTATGTGTGCACTTAACACCGACATATGATTGGCAATGCAGTTAGTGTTCTTTACACTCCAACTTTTTAAAAATGTACAGTAAAGCAAGCTATCGTTTTTAAAACATTTTCAGATGGATCATTCAGCGGATGATAGCAACATTGTAAATGCCTTGATGGCAATTCATGTTTTTCGTATTTGTGTTGCATATTTATACATTTCTGTTTCTTTTTGCAGCAAATTTATGAATTGTTGCAATGACAGTGAGATTTATGGAACATTCCCCTCCGATATTTTTTCGCGCTACAACAGGCAAGATAGATTTATATTAGTTTATATTTTTGCAAAAACTCCTAAAATATTAATACATACGCTTACCAAATATATCAGTAGTTTATTAGTGTTCTATACATTTTCAATGCAAATTTATGTGTTATGCATTTTATCACATTCAACAATTTTTTTGATTAAATACTGTACATCGATCGATTAGTAAGAAAATATATATCTGCATATATCGCTCCCTTAAACCTTCTGATTAAATATTTCATAGATTTTATGCATTGCTAATGTATTGACTATTAAATTATTTAATAAATTATTCGAAATGTTATAAAACGTGACAGTGCAAACAAAAAATAACAGATAGTTTCGCTGAAAATATCGTAGCTGTCACGTTTCGGGAAACATCGATAGCACCGACAAACATCGATTGCGACGTGTCACAGTCTGGCAACTCTGCTGACGGCCATACTTGAAAATACATTTTTTTCTGCAAAGTTTGTCATTGTCACTGTGTGAATGGAATCTGTGATGCGTTGTGGAATTAATAACGTGCAGTAAACGACCCGTAATGGTTCAAGTGCCCTACGCGTCGGCGAATGCAGTGCGAATAACTATGAATTGATACGAAAGTTGCATAACACGTCGCCTGGTGTCGCGGTTAGTGTGTTTTTCGTCTCGTTTCGTTTCCGCCGCAGTCGCAATTTCCAGAAAACCTCACCACACCACACCACCACCATCACCACGCACATACACACACACACACTCGCACGCAAGGGCAGAGACGCGGCGGCGGAAAAAGTGTGCGGACCGTGGATATAGCCCCTTGTTCCGAACCCAAATTGGAGTCCCCATCGAGTGTGGCGTAGCCAATGTGCTGTGCGATACCCGCTGCCCCCTCCGTACCGCCGCCACCCCCGCCACTGCAACAACGACGCACACGGATACGGATACGGACACCAATACCAGCGCACCCCAGCACGGCCGACAAAGAAAGAGCGATCTCTTCCTCTTTGTACAGTTAGTTCCTACAGCTGAATCGGCCTAAAAGGGGATTGGTTGCCTATCCAAAGGCGCAGGAGGTTGCATGTGAAACACGGAGGAGGACCCAAAAGCCCAAACCCCAAACCCACGAAAGAAAACCAAACAACCATGAGTCTCCTGGCCACGCCAATGCCCCCGGCGGCCAACGCCTCATCATCCTCTTCGTCGGCCGCCTCCGCCAGCGGGATTCCACCCAGCGCCAACAACAACCTGCCTTTCGAGAAGGACAAGATCTGGTACTTCAGCAACGATCAACTGGTCAACTCGCCCAGCCGCCGATGCGGCATCAAGGGAGACGACGAGCTGCAGTACCGCCAGATGACCGCCTACCTGATCCAGGAGATGGGCCAGCGTCTGCAGGTCTCCCAGCTGTGCATCAACACGGCCATCGTGTACATGCATCGCTTTTACGCCTTCCACTCGTTCACCCACTTTCACCGGAACTCCATGGCGTCGGCGAGCCTCTTCCTGGCCGCCAAGGTGGAGGAGCAGCCGAGGAAGCTGGAGCACGTTATCAGGGCTGCCAACAAGTGCCTGCCGCCGACCACCGAGCAGAACTACGCCGAACTCGCCCAGGAGCTTGTCTTCAACGAGAACGTGCTGCTGCAGACGCTGGGTTTCGATGTGGCCATCGATCATCCGCACACGCATGTGGTGCGCACCTGCCAGTTGGTCAAAGGTAGGCACCCACCATCCGACCCAAGCCATGTTCCCCTCACATGTCAGATGGTACTGATTACTGTGGTATATTTTAGCATGCAAGGATCTGGCGCAGACTTCGTACTTCTTGGCCTCGAACAGGTATGGCTCAATACTAGCAATGCGCTACTCTGTGGTACAATCCCTCCCGGAGATTGACTCCCAAAGCGAATGAGGCAGTGGTATAAGCGGTGTGTGTGTGTGTGCGGGTGAGGAATGGGGCCCAATCCTCTCTAGAAAGTGGTCAGGTGGTACAGCACCCTTTTCCAGGTTTTAAGCATGGTGAGACAGCTTTTCTACCTGCTTGTTTCCTCGCTTATAGCTAATAGACCCAGGTATCTGGGCCGAGACAAAGAAAAGGTGAGGACCCGAAGTCACTGAGCGAACAAGGATACGCGGGTCGCTTATCGCAGCAGGCAGTCATGCTGCACAAAAACCCGCATCTTAACAAAAAGGCAGTATTTTTCCGGTCCCTTGGGTCAATTATCGGCAGTTGCCTGCAATAACATTGTAATTTGTATCGGGAAATCCGCGAAGTATTAAAGAATAGGCTGTGATTCCTAGAAAAGGATGATTGTACTTTTGGCAACCGCGAAAAACCTTTTTCCTTCCAAACATCTGAAAAGAAGATAACATTGTTTTCGACTTATAATTCCGTGGAAAATGCTGGCTACCCGAGGAATGTCAGAAATGATTTTTTGGAACTATACTTATTTCTAAATCTTGAGTTATCTTGGGATAATTGTTTTGGTTTTATAATCCCTAAAATAACAAAGAGAAAATCCATAAGGTCTCTTGAAGTATGCTAAGACGCAATCGGCGGTTTTAGTGATGAAATCTCCCTGCACACACTCACAAAACTACACTTAGTTCTAATAGTATAAGAAACGAACCGTCACTAAATTGACTTAACCATCCTGGCACAGCCTGCATCTGACCTCGATGTGCCTGCAATACCGCCCCACCGTGGTGGCCTGCTTCTGCATTTACCTGGCCTGCAAGTGGTCCCGCTGGGAGATCCCCCAGTCGACTGAGGGCAAACACTGGTTCTACTACGTGGACAAGAGCGTCTCGCTGGATCTGCTGAAGCAGCTGACCGATGAGTTCATCGCCATCTACGAGAAGAGCCCCGCCCGCCTCAAGTCCAAGCTGAACTCGATCAAGGCGATCGCCCAGGGAGCCAGCAACAGGACGGCCAACAGCAAGGACAAGCCTAAGGAGGACTGGAAGATTACTGAGATGATGAAGGGCTATCATT